CCACCCACTGACCTGCTCTCAGCCCCTGCCATCCGGGCCACACCCCCTCACACAAATTGCTCTCTCTGCTTTCCACACTCACTCGACCCCCACCCCAGGCCAAACTCATTTTCACGTAGCAGCTATGATCTTCAAACTCAAAATAGCACATTGTCAAACCCATCTAAGTCCTTGGTGGAACTGAGATCAGTTCTAAACGCCCTAAGCAGCCTTCTAGATCTCACTCTTCCTTCCAATCTCGCCTTTCATGTCCTCTGTCTCAGGCCCCTACGCTTCTCTAATGTTCTTAACATGGTTGGTGCCTTCCTACCTCAGGGAGAGCCCCAGGACCGAATCTGGTGCCTGGTGTGTATGGGATGGGATTGTGGAACAGGCTGAAGGAGTGAGATTATCTTTGAACCTAATTCTAGGACTTCCGCACCCATCATTTCTTTCTCTTTAGATCTGAAATTTGTCTCATTACTCAGCTCTGAGACAGTACGTACATGGCTGGAAAGGACTGTAGAACTGTAGCTGGGAAAGCCTGCCTCCTGGTCACGTCCTTGCTAGGAGACAATGTTCCTGAACTCAGGGCACAGATACTAGAATTAGGAAGACCCACCACCACATTAACAAAGAGTGTAGGGTCCTTTGTGTCTCGACAGGAGGTTGTTTCCCAAAGTGATAGTGTTTCTCACGGTTACCTGACTCTTTTTCCTGCCCCAGCAAGCTGCCGTTCTCTAAAAGACCCCCAGTATCTGCTAAGGCCACCTGAGTGGGAAATCTGTTTGGTCTGCTTATTAGGAGGGGTGCCTCTTGCATTTGTATTGTCTTTTAAAAGATTTAAAGATTTTTTTAAGTGTGTGTGTGTGTGTGTGTGTGTGTGTGTGTGCGCGCGCGCGTGCATGCGAGTACAGGCACCTTCAGAGGCCGAAGAGGGTGTCAAATACCCTGGAGCTAGTTACAGGATGTTGTCAACACCTGATGTAGAAGTTTAGAACCAATTCAGGTCCTCCACAAGGGCAGTATATACTCCCAGTGGATCAGCCAGCTCTCGAGCCCCTATTTGTATAGTCTTTGAACTCACACGGGTGTTTGTAAAGTCTGAAAACACACTTAGTGTCAGCAGGAGTCTCCACTCTTGGTGAGAGGCTCTTTACGCCCTTGTATCTGCTCTCATCATCACCAAGTCCCCCACTCTCTGTAGTACAGATCCCCAGCCAACGTGGGGGCCCCAGCCTTAATCTCCCTGGCCTCTCTCCTGAAGAGCTCTTGTTTTGGAATAGGGTCTCAAGCCAGACTGGCCTCCACCTTACCATGTAGCTGAGGATGGCCTTAAACTCAATCCTCCTGCTTCTGATGCCCTAGTACCGGGGTCACAGCTGTGTAGACCACCACACCCGGTTTACACAGTGCTGGGGATGGAGACCGGGGCTCCGTCCATGCTAAGTAAGCAATCTACCCACTGAACCACACTGCAGCCTAGCCCTGTCTGCTCTGGGCTTTTTCCGGGAAGCCCTGCCCCCCATCTAGGGCAGCATCCTACCTCCTGTACCTGGAACAATGCTTCCTCACGGGGGCAGGTGCCTCCCGAGTCGTGGATCAGGTCTGCCATCATTCTACCGGGCAGTTTCCCTCTCTCACCCCTTCCTTGGCCTCAGTCTTACTCAGATCCTGGGTCGTGGCTTAAACATCACCTCCGCATTCTATGACACACCGCAGCGAGCTGGGTGCGCCACTTCTAGGCTCCCCGTGTCCTCCTGAACCCTCACAGTGACACCAGTGGCATTTAGTCCTGACTTGTCAGTGCCTGCACTTGCTTCCCCACCAGAGGGAGAGCGCACTGAGGGCAGGGGCCCACTGAGGGCAGGGGCCGAGCTGACTCAGTTCTTTCCCCACCATCCTAGGCTGGGCAGAGCTGGGAGCTGTCAGGAAACATCTGCAATCATGATCTTGTCTTTGCCCTGCTGGAAGAGCTTCAGGGCTTGCTTTTGCAACTCCTGCCTGCCCCTCACGCTCTCTCCCTGTCACCTCTGGCCTGTCCTCCAGTCTCAGATTTCAACCTAGCCATTCCCTTTGGCAGGAACACTTTGCTGCAGTCAGCAAAACACCCGGCCCTATTTTACATGGTTCTGCGCTGAGGCAGGGCTGTCTCCACAGGCACACCCCTTTTCTGCTTAAATGGACAGGACACAATCCCCCTGACACAGGTCAGCACCTGACTGCTGCAGTGTATTGAGCCCTGTACTCTCCTCCCTCTTCCCTCGTCTCATTTCTTCCCACCTCTCTCCTTCTCTGGCCTCCCTCTGTCTTCCTGGCCCTTTTCTTTTCCTTCTCTGGCCTTTAGGTTCTGTCCCGAGCGGCTTCTGCTGTTAGCTGCATCACAGGTCTCGTGCTCAGAGTCTGAGCACGGTGTAGACACAAGCATCTTAGTGCAAACTCCTCCAGGAGGCTAAGGCTGCCTCGGCCTGGGCTGGAAACCCAGCTTTGGAGTCAAGGCCGCCGGGTGCGCAGATGTGGTCACAGCGCCCTCTTGTGGCCACATCTAAATAAAGCATTTTTCTCACACTAGAAGTCCGAGATGAGGGCAAAGTCCCAGGGACGCTCCTGCTCCAGAAAAGAGGGGGTGCCCTGCTGTGCGCGCGTCAGGAAGCAGGTCCTCTGGCTTCCAGTGTCAGCTCCCAGTACAGGGACCAAGAACACCTGCTCCCTCTCGGTCACTGCTATGTGACTCTGGGAAAGTTACTTGGCTGGGTTGCACATTCATTTACCATAAATGAGTATTAAACACATATTACTGCACTAACAAGGGAGGAACGCCCTCTTGGCATGAGGCTAGCCCCACAAACACACAAGTTGGGAACAGTACAATCTGCCTGGAGAATCTTCAGCTCTGCCTCCCCTGCCCCCCAATACCTGCTTCCTATCCACAGTCGTTTCTCTTTACAGCAGCCAAGGGGTTTTAGAAAGTGGTCTTTGGATGAACTCCCAGAATAGAAGCCTCGAAAGATTGGCATTCACTGTTAGAATAACACCCAAGTATTTGACTCCAAACACACCTGGTCCAGCCAGAGCTGGCTAATGGATCCCCTGCTGGTTCCTAGAAGGGAGCAAGGTTATTCCCATACCCTGGATGTTGTATTGGCAGCTCCCTCTCCCAGAGGGAGCTCTTCTCCAAGAAACTTTTAAGAGTTTTGCTTTATTTGGGTTCCCGCTCATAGGCCACTTCCCCAAAGGACTTTCCCTCACTGGCTTCTTCCTCCCTTCCTCTATTCTACTTAAGACAAACCCTTGTGCTGGAGATGTAGCTCAGAGACTGACTAGAATCCCTGGGTGTGGCTCATGGTAGAACCCTGCCTAGCTTCCCCAGTGAGGGACTTGGGGTGTGGCTCAGCTTGTTAGGCCCTTGGTTCAATCTCCAGCATTGGAAAAGGAAAGAGTGACGTTTACAGCCACTCGGTATTTACTTGCATGCTGTTCTTTTCTCAGAGGCTGTAAATGCCTGGGGACAGAGGCTCCTGCCTCTGCTCATTGCAGCTTCCTGCACCTAGGGACCAAAGGATGTCCAATGTTTGCTGAATGAATAATCGACATGATGCTTAATAACCTCAGGGAACTTGAAGGAGGCAGGGCATCCTCTCTGCCTTTCAGACCTAACTTAATTAGGAAAATGGATACCTACAGAGTTCAAGGAGTACGCAGGTCACTTCCCTGAGGACAGGACCACAGAGTTTAAGGAGCAGAGCGCTCTCTGTCCAAGGTTCGGGGACGATCAGGAAAAGCTCCTATTACCCAGCCAGGACACACCTGGAGACAGGACTCACAGCACCAAGTCTCTCTCTTCTTAGGAAAGTTTCCTCAACCTCTCAATTTCCTACAGGGCAAGGTAGAATCCAGAAGCCTGGAGCCCCTTGGTGGCCAGTCCTTACTATGCAGAGCCAAGCTGGACACGGTTGGCCAACTACTTTGACCTCTGGACTCTCATCTCTGCAGAGACCTGATGGGGTGATGGCAAGCCAGCTCCATTTTCACAGGAGGAAATGGCAGATTAGAGAGGCTAAGGCAGGGACCGAGCACAAGCTCTGTTCCCAGAATCCAAGCTTGGGGTGCCCCCCCCACAACAGCTACCAGGAGTAGATGAGGCTGATGACAGCCCCTGTGGCCTTCTAATTGAGTGACCAAAGGCCACGTAAGCCGTGGGGTTGGTACCTGTGAGCACCACGAAGAAAAGCTCAAAACGTGTGCTGGAGACTCGCACGCTGATTCCGTTAGGTTGCTGTTGCTGTGATAAACACCATGGCCGAACGCATCTTAGGGAAGAAAGACTTTATTTCAATTCACATCTCTTGGGGTCCATTACTGAGGGAAGTCAGAGCAGAAACCGAGGCAGATGCCATGGAGGAACACTGCTTACTGACTTCCTCAGTCTGTGTTCTTTCTTTTTCTTTTCTTTTTGGTTTTTCAAGACAGGGTTTCTCGGTGTAGCCTTGGCTGTCCTGGAACTCGCTCTGTAGACCAGGCTGACTTTGCACAGCCTGTCTCTGCCTCCAGAGTGCTGGGATTAAAGGTGTGCACCATCACCACCCAGCAGCCTACTTTCTTACAGAACCCAGGACCACCCGCCTAGGTGACTGCACTACTCACAGTGGGCTGAGCCCTTCCACATCAATCAACAACCAAGAATATGCCCCAAAGGTTTGCCTATAGGTCAACCTTATGGAGATATTTTCTCAGATGATCCCAGCCTGGGGGAAGTTAGGAAAACAAAACAAAAACAAACAAACAAACAAACAAAAAATGACCAGCCAGGACACTGACCCAACTGTCATGTGAAAACCACACAAACTTGGTTTGGAATGTATCCACTCAGCAGACCATTGGCTTCCAAAGACTCACAGGCAAAGAAAGTCATCAGAGGGCACCGAGACCCGCAGCAGGGATTTTCCAAGCCTTGCTGTAACCCACCTACACCAGTGTATCAGGCCAGTGGCTTGACTGATGACTTCCTTTTGTTCTAGGGCTGTAAATGGTTGTGTAACTGCTTCCACAGCTTCCCTGGGGCAACCTGAACCCATGTAAACCCTGCAACTGAAGCTCTTTTCTGGTTCAGAACAAACTTTCTCTAATTCTCTCAGGAGCAAGTTTTCCCTTGATGAAAGGGGCAGGGTGACAACTGTGAATGTGTTCCTATTGTTCGTTTGACTTTGTTTACCTGACTTGGGCAGACAAAGTGAGGCCAGGGCTATTTGGAGCCCACAGAGGGGTGTAGGAATGCATGGTTGCTGGTCCCTTCTCCCTCAGGCCTGGTAGCCTAGCCCGGGGCTCCCTCACCAGCTCCAAGGTTCAGGTTGCTGTGTAGAGCACAGCCCCTCCATGGTACACAGTTGCTCCACAGGGCTCAGGTCCCATAGGACACAGGAAGCTCTGGAAGGGCAGGTGGTCACTTCACAGTGTAGATCGCTTCACAGGAACAGGGCACTACAGGGCACAGTCACTTTTCAGGGCACACTGGTCATTCCGAGGGGCTCACGTCACTCTGTAGGACACAGGTGGCTCCTGCCCGGTCTCCTCCTTCCTTGCACAGGGTGGCTCCATCTCTGGATTGCTCACAGGTACAGGGTCCCTGTGGGGCCGCAGGGTCACTGGTGGCCTGGCTTGAGTTCCCAGGCAGTGGCGGCTCGGCTTGCAACATGCGGCGGCCCTTGCCAATAGCCAGGCGTGGCAGGCCTCTGTTGAGGCCATCCAGGAGTGCACAGGCCTGGCAGAGCGCATGGCTGGCCAGTGCCCCGCAGCGCGTGCAGGTACCTGGAGGAGGGGGCCGAGCTGCTGGGGCAAGAGCAAGGCGCTCTGCCGAGTGCACGAGGTCCAGCACTGCCGATGGCCGCGCTGCCTCCAGGCGCTTGAGCAGGTCGCGAGCGTGACCACGGAAAGCCTCGGGCGCATATACACACTCCTCAGAGAAGTAGCGCAGGCGGCGGAAGTGCGCGTACAATACCACCTCCTTCTGCGAAGCAAACTGCAGAGGCCGGCACCGCGGGAGTGCGCACCCCTCGCCCGCAGAGCCTAGCACTCCACCCCGCGCCAGCCGCCCAGCATCACCGCGCAGGAAGTTCATGAGCACTGTCTCCGCCATATCGTCGGCATTGTGGCCTGTGGGAGAGAGCTCAGGTGAAGATGGAGACAGAGAGGAAAGGGGCGGGGAGGGGGCTCTGAGAACCCCTGGAGAGGAAATAGAGAAGAGGTCAGAGGGATTCCCTGGACCTGGAGACTGAGGAGAGGACCCTGTACATCCTCAGTAATGACAATGGAAAAGGGACCATAAAGGAGAGTGGAGGGAGGCGTGGGGACACCCAGAACCCAGAAAGAACGGGCGGTGGAGACACCATGCCACCCCACTTTCTGACACAATATACTACCCCCTCACACATCCTTCCTGAGCTCACCAGTCACGATGTGTGTAGCTCCCACGAGGCGAGCACCCTCCTCCAGCGCGCGCCGCCGTAGCACCCCACAGAAGGTGCAGCAGGAGCGACTGCGGCCAGAGCCGGCAGTGCTGCGGGCCACGGCATCCATCGTCCAGCCTCCGAACAGGTCTGCATAGGCCACAATGGTGAGCGGCAGCTCCCAGCGCGCAGCCTGGCTGCTCACCGCCTCCAGGGCTGCATCACGGTAGCCGCCAATGCCCTCGTCCACGGCCACCAGGTGCAGCGTGATGTCCAGGCGCGGCGCGAGCTCGCGCAGCACGTGTGCCAGTACCGTGGAATCCTTGCCACCCGAGGCGCCCACGGCCACCACGGCACCCGGGGGCAGCAGGCACCCGGCGATCACGGTGTGCAGCACCTCGGCCTCAAAGGCTGTACAGAAGCAGGAGCCGCATAGCGCCTGCCCCGAGCGCGGGCGGCGGAGGGCAGCGCGGGCTGCATGGCAGGAGGAGCACGTTGGAGCGGGCATCGGGGGAAGAGAAGTGGGTTGCTTGGGGTATTCACACTGTGGAAGAAAGAATAGGAGATTACTTTGATGGGAAAGAAGAGGGGTCACAAGAGAAGCCACACTGCTGGGTTAATGGAGAGAGAAGGAAAGCTGGTCGTCCAGGATGTCTGCACTTTGGAGCTGAGGGGAGAGAGGCGGGTCACGTGGATAGTCTGTTGTGGGGATGCTGAAGAAATGGTATCCTACCCAGAGTGACCCTTGCACAGGGGAGGGAGCCCAAGGGAAGGGCAGTTTCTTTCTGCACCAAGAAAATAAGGACCTTATGACGTGGTTTCAGGCAGAAAGACATGTAAGAAGGGGGTTAAGAACCTTTTGAACAGTTTTGAGATCACTATTGTTACTATCTTGATCAGGGAGTCAAAGTAGGTGTCACTGACCTTGACTTCCAGGGTTGACCAGAACCCGGAAGAGCCTGCTATTGTTTGGATTTTAATCGGGGAGGTAGGATACGGACACGCCCCAATCTTGACTACATCCCTGAAAGACAGGGTGCCCTCTTCCTCTAGGCACACAGACGGTGCCTGCACCACCTCTCGGTTACCAGTAAAAACTCTCCAGGCTCAGCCCTGTCCGCCTGACCACCGCATCTCCAGCTTGGACTAGCCAGTAGCCTCTTGTCGTTCCCAGCAGGTACGGCTGCTCCGGAATTTACCACAAGAATCAGAATTATTCCGCAACTGCCGGTTTACAATCACTAACTTCCTTCCACTCAGTCCTCAAACCCCACATCTCCTATTCCTTTTGCCATATGGTGTTGTGCAGCGAGGCAAAGCGCTACCCTTCCAGGTGCACAGACTGGACACACCGGGGTCTAGAACCACCCCATCACTCACCCTGATCGGGGGCTCAAAATGCAAAGTCCAGTCTTGACTGGCTTCCCAAACGTGCCTAATCCATCCTCAGAACTCATGTTCAGAAGCCTACAAGAGTGCAGCCAATCCTACTTGTGGCTTCAAAACAGAAGAAGCCAGATGCTCCCCACCTACTCCATGGCCAGCACGCTTGTTGGGTCTCTCTGCCTCGACCTCCCCACCTTTACACTTGCTGTTTTGCATAAAACAATCAGCAGATCCAGCCCAGTTATCTTTTCCACATTGTTCTGTGACTGATGCTGCCCTGTGATTCCTCCCCCTTACTCTCAACTATCCTAGGACCTCCCGCCCACAACAGTTCTCGCGGATTGCTGAGCCCCGCAAGCAGCTCTCTGGACACACTCATCCCTCATGGCTGAGCATTGCTCCTTAAAATATTTCCTTCCCAGCTTTTGATTCTATCCTTCCTCTTGCCTGGGTCTGTCCCCATCAGTGTCTCACCACTTCATTCCTTCAAGCCCTGCCCAGCAAGCCTGAGAACCATCAGGTGCCTCCAGGAAGGTCCTCCAAATGGCCCGCTGAAGATTGTTGCACCTTTCAGACCTCAAGTGCCCCTGAAATCAGTCTGCCTGGTATCTCTGTCTCCTGAGAGTGCCCACCACCTTCTGCCCAGTATTTATTCAGAATGTCCTCGGTCACCTAGAAGAGCTTGCTGTTGTGAGGAGTCGCGTGTGGACACAGGCACAAACAGGGAGCCTGCTGAGCTGATGGGTGTTAATACATGGGAGGAGGAGGAAAACTGTGTACCGACAGGCACGGTGGCGCACGCCTTTAATCCCAGCACTCAGGAGGAAGAGACATTTGAATTTCTGCAAATTCCAAGCTAGCCTCGTCTACATAGTGAGTTCCAGGCCACCCAGGGCAACGTGGTGAAATCTCGTCCAAAAATAAAAACAAACGCAACAAATAAAAAAAAGGGGGGGTACTTCCTGTTGGCCGAGTTGCCTAAAGGGCAGAGAAGGGGTCTCCAGAACTATTTAACTATGAGCAAGAGAAGACAGGTAGTCTGTCACCACTAGGTGAACAGGGAGGCCTGGCAAGAGACCAGATTAGAGGGGGATCCTGGCCAGAACATGAATTGGCAATCTTAAAAGCGAGTGCTAAATCCCTAGAGAGACCTTCAACTCTCCGGTGGCACTACAACCCCGAGCCCGCTCGATCGGGAGCAAGAGGAACACTAACCTGGGTGGAATGGGCTCTGCACTCTGCCTGCCACGCGGAAGCCTGGAGCGGAAGCTGCCCTGAAACTACAACTCCCACAAGGCCTTGGACTGCCTTGCCTACGACTACCAGAAAGCAACAACTCCAGACGAGCGCCTGTAACTCTACGACAACTTGGACTACAATTCCCAGCAACACTAGCGGACACGGCTTTTTCCTGCAGTTTAAGGCTCCTCAAACGCTGGACCCCAGAAGGTGAACATGCAGGCGTGGGGATTGAGCTGCAGCTACTGCTATTGCCCTGGCAACGCGAGGTCACCAGGCACAATGCTTGAAATCAGAAGTGACTGCGGTCTAATTGTCTAGTTTTCCTTTTTATTATCCGCTACTGCAGGTTCATTTTTTGAAGGGAAGTAGACCTCGCTCACCAGGCTGACCTTGAACCCAGAACCCCACCTACTGTTGCCTCCGGAACGCTAAGATTAAAGGCGTACGCCATCTTGCACTTTTCTATCTCCTATTTTCTTTTCTTTTTTCTTCAGAAAGGTGGAAGAAATCTAGACGACACCCAAGCTTTTGTAATAGACCCCAGTAAATTGTCGTCGGTGCTTTTTAATCTCTCTCTCTCTCTCTCTCTCTCTCTCTCTCTCTCTCTCTCTCTCTCTCTCTCTCTCGTTTTGTTTTTCGAGACAGGGTTTCTCTCTGTAACAGCCCTCCTGTAACAGTGTCCTGGAACTACCTCTTGTAGACCAGGCTGGCCTTGAACTCACAGAAATCTGCTTGCCTCTGCCTCTGCCTAGAGTGCTAGGATTAAAGGCGTGCACCACCACCCCCCAGCTCAACAGGTGCTCTTTAAGGTCGCCGAGAACCTGTCTCTGGAGGTGGAATTACCTGGGCCGTCCCGACTTTAGACTCAGGCATTTTGCCTTAACGGGTCTTCCAAGGCCACTGTTCAGCTGCCTGCCGGCCTCCTGGCCCTGTGGAAAAGCGAGGGAAAACAGCCAAATAGCCCTGAGAACAGGAGAGTAAATTCTCAAAGAAGGATAGAAAATCTTTGAACACAGTGGGATGTGAACCATTCTCTGATACTTCCAATACTGCTCATCTCTTGTGATATAAAATTAAAAATATCTGTTGTGGGAATGGCTAGTTGGGAGACAGTCTGCTGGGGACCCTTCAGTCAGATGCTCCTGCTGACTGTTGTGGTTGCCCGACTTCCCCAGCCTGTTTTTCCTGGATGTTTATTACAGTCTGATCTGGTGTCCCATTATCTCTGCAGTCTGCTGTTAATGCACTTGAAATGCAAAACACTGCTGTCACAGATCATTCTCCAGCCTGAGACAGCTCTCTTTACTCCACTGAACCACATCCCAGCTCCTCACTAGAGGATTCTAGGCACGGATCTATTATTGAGCCACATACCAGCCTCTCATGGGGAAATTCTAAATGGGTGCTCCACCACTGAGAAGATTCTAGGCAGATGTTTTAACACTGAGCCCTGTCCAAAGCTCCTCACTGGTGAATACGAGGCAAGCACTCTACTGCTGAGCTATAGCCTCAGCGTGCCCCTCTTCTTATGCTCTTGGTTTTAAAACAGGATCTCACTGTGTGGCTCACGCAGACCTCAAACTTACAATCCTTCTGCCTCTGTCCTCCATGTAGCTAGAATTACAGTTTTGAGCTACAAGGCTGGGCTCAGCTGGGTGGTAGATTGACCTGGACCAGTAGATTCTGATGCTGCGACCCTTTAGTGCGGTTCCTTGTGTTATGGTGACTCCCAACCATAAAGCTATTTTTGTTGATACCTCATAGCTGTAGTTTTGCTACTGTTATGAGTCGTGTCTGTGTTTTCTGATGGTCTTAGGTGACCCCTGTGAAAAGGCCCTTTGAACCAAAGCAGTCACAACCTACAGGTTGAGAAATGCTCACCCAGACCATGGGGATGATGTTTCAGTACCATATTCAGAGCCAGGCCAGTCCACTATGTCCTGTGGTCCTTGTGTGCCAATTCCTCTTTATCAGCATCCCAGACAAATTGGTCAGTTAACTAAGGGAAGAAGGAGAGACCTCACCACACTACAGAAAACCAAGTATCAATACAGACATCTGATTGGTTCCTTACACAGTCTTGGGGGAATGTGCCACCAAGTACTTGGCAGGCTGTTTCTGGAATGGGCATGGTTCTATAAGGTGAAAAGCTTCCACATCTGAGGCTCAAGGACACCAAGAACTCTAGACCAGAGATTCAAAGCAGAGTTCATGAGTTGGCATACCTAATGCTTAGTTGTTCTGGGTACCTGAGCAAGGAAAGAAAGGAGTCTAGGTCCCACTTTCTTGTTGTGTTTATGGCCCCATGCCCTAATTTGATTCCCAGTTGCTATGATAAAATACTCACCCAAATTAACTTGCATTTATTTTAGCCTATAGATTACAGTCCATCACCAAGGGAAGCCATGGCAGGAACTCAAATAAGGAGCTGGAAGCAGAAACCATGGAGGAACTCTACTCTTACTGACTTACTTCCATGCTCACATTTAACTGCCTTTCTTATACTGGGAGGGGTACCATTCACAGCGAGCTGAATCCTCCCACACCAGTCAAGAGTCAGTAAGATAAGTCACAGGCTAATCTGATGAAGGCAATTTCTCAACTGAGGTTCCTTTTTCCTATGTGTTACAAGTTGATAACCTAGCTTAGCAATCACATGGAAGGAGGGACAGCTGACGTTCATTTCCCACCATTACTTAAGTAGAAACTATCGCATTTCTATCCCAGATACTGCATTACCTTTCATGAAAATAGCACACATGGGAGCTGGGGATAGACCTCAGTTGGCAGAGTGCTTGACCGTGGGTTCAGTTCCCAGCACTGTATAAATCACGTGTGCTAGTACATACCTGCAATCCGAGCATTTGGGATGTGGAAGCAAGAGGATGTGGAGTTCAAGGTCATCTGTGACCACACAGGGAGTTTGAGTCTGCCTTAGTGATGTGGGCCTTGTCTTAATCAGCGAGGAAATAAAGTGTAACCTTCAGTGCAGTCGGTAGAAACACTACTTGGAAAAGTAAATTCTCATCTTAGTTTTTTCTGCTAGTCCTGGTTCCCGTGGGCTATTGCTTTGTTCACCTATTCACTTATTTGTCTCTTAACTGGTTTAAACCGGCAAGGCTGCACCTGGATCACTCCACTTCCGGTTCTGCTCTGGGCTCTTTCAAGAGATTACACTTGAGACGGGGATTTTGCTGGATCTGGGTGTATGACCTCAACACCCACTACTGTCCTAGTTAGGGTTCCTACTGCTGTGAAGAGGCACCGTGGCCATGGCTGTTGCCGGATATTTGATCACACCGTGAACCCCGAGATTGCACTATTTACTGGAAAAATCTGTTCCTAGTGTGGTGTGGCTCAGCCCTAGCACACACTTTATTCCAAAGCCTTCTGTTTGAATAGTGTCAAGTGGATTAAATAAAACCAACCACAGGTCAAGATGAAGGGTAAGTAACCAGTTGACAGGAAGTGAACATAGGGGAAAAAAAAAAAAACGTCAGGAGGATGAATAGAGAGGTGCTCAGGAGTAGAAGGGGGAGGCATTCAGTTTGAGGAGGTTGTTTGGAGATGGTGTAAGAGAACAAGGGCCTCTGGGATGCCAGGCGAGGAGGAAGTCAGCTGGGTGCTTTCTCTGCCTTTCTGACCTAGCAGGCTTTCACCCCAGCATCAGCTCACAACTCATTTTTTGTCAAATCAAATGATCGAGATTTTGTTAAAAATACCTCTTATAAAGGAAACATTTGATGGGGTTAGCTTACAGTTTTCGAGTCTCAGTCCATTATCATTAAGGTGTGACAGGCAGTCACGATACTGGAGCTGAGAGTTAATAAATATTGATTGGTCGGAAGTGAACTGAGGCACTTGAAGACATGGCTTTAGCATTTATGAGACCTCACAGCCCACCTCCACAGTGGCATATTTCCTCTAACAAGGCCACACCTACTTCAACAAGGCCACACCTCATAATAGTACCATTCCCCTTGGAGGTCATTGTCAAACCACCCACTCCATGGGCATATCTGTTTCCCACCAAGATGTGATTGCCTATTAGATTTGCCCTACCAGCCTTTACTGGAGACCTGGAGGAACAATATGAATGTGCTCTATCAGCTGAATGAATGAATAATGAATGGAATGAGTGAATGAAATTTCATCCATCATCCCATGGGACACAGGTGATACAATTCATAAGCATTAAATTGATACCAGCAGACAAAAGTTGGCACAGGAGGGAATGGAGCATGATCTAGAGAATGCACACAACTGGACAACACAGAAGGCAAGATAGCATAGGTGTGCTGCTCACGAACATCAGACGATTGGTCCTGATAGAGCAGGGGTCAATCAGAGCGGTGGCAGAGTCACTGTCTGGTGAATGTTCGTCATCGCAAATAATATTTTCTCATGTGGTAGAAAAAGCAAACAACCTTCCTTGGATGTCTTGTATGAAGGGCATTACTCCAATTTGTGAGGGCTCCATCCCCATGACCTAAGTCCTTCCTAAATGTGTTGGCTAGTTTTGTGTCAACTTGACACAAGATAGAGTCACCAGAGAGGAGGGAGTTTCAGTGAATAAAATAAAGGGATTTTACTTTAGAAGATGGGGCTGTAGGCAAGCTTGTAGAGCATTTTCTTAATTACTGATTGATGAGGGAGGGCCCAGCCCATTGTGGGTGGTACCAGCCTGGGCTGATTGATGGTCCTAGATTCTCCAAGAAATCAGGGGTGATCAAGTCTTGAGGAGCAAGTCATTAAGCAGCACTCCTCTATGACCTCTGCATTAGTCCATGCCTCCAGGTTCATGCCCTGCCTGAATTCTGACCCTTGATGATGAACTGTTATATGGAACTGTGTGTGAAACCCCTTTCTTCCCAAGTTGCTTTTGGTCATGGTGTTTCATCACCGCAATAGTAATCCTGACTGACACACTAGATAAAGCACCTCCATGGGACTGGAAGGATGACCCAGTAAAGCGCTTGCGACACAAACATGGAGACCTGAGTTCGGATCCCCAGCTCCCACATGAGAACCAGATGTGGGTGCCTGGAGTGTGGAGGCAGAACGAGGTTCTCAGGGCTCACTGACCAGCCAGGCGGGGGTCTGTCCTAGTACTTTCTTCCTGTTGATAAAATACCCCGACAAAGGCAGCTTAAAGGAGAAACATTTATGTGTGCTTACAGTTCAAGATAGTCAGCTGCAGTAGAGAAGTCATGGCAGGAGGCTTGAAGCAGTTGGTTACATCACACCACAGTCAGGAAGCCGAGGGCAGTGCATGGTGGTGCTTGGCTCACTTTCTCCTTTTCATACAATCCAGGATCCCAGCCCAGGGACTGGTGCCACCCACAGTGAGTAGCCCTTCCCATTGTAACTACCCTAATCAAGATAATTCCCCCAGAGGCATGACCAGAGGCCCATCTCCTAAGTGAGCTTAGATCATGCCAAATTGGCCACTGAAATTAACCACTACAGATCCTGCTTGGAAGGTAAGGTGGAGAGTGATGGAGGAAGATGTCCAAAGCAGAGCTCTGGGTTTTGTATGTGCATGCGCAGGCAAACACACCCTTCACACACTTAGCTCCCTCCATACACAGGAACCTACCTGTTATCACCATAGCCTTGGGGCTAAGGGTTTCAATACGTGTGTTCTGGAGGGGACAGATGCCACCTTAGCACTTCCATTCTGGAACTCAGTGTCCTCTGAAAATGGGGAAATGACACCACAGGTCTTCTCGATTCTCTGTGCTGTGTGTGCCGTAAGCTCCTCTCTTGGATGCAGCTTCTCGGAGTATCCTCTTTCTGTCCTGACTTCTTTACAAACTTCAGGCAACAGGGAACCACATGGGGCAATGGCCCAGCCCTTCTGACCACTGAGTTGCTGCAATTTCTGCTAAGAGAAAAAGTGTTTGGGCAAAGATGGGGGTGGGGAGGGGGTAAAGGGTTTTTGTCAGTTGAAAATGCAGAAAGTGGTGTGGGTGCACTCTCGTGTGTGTGTGTGTGTGTGTGTGTGTGTGTGTGTGTGTGTTTGAGAGAGACAGACAGAGACACAGAGAGATTGTTAGTTGAAGATGGTAGCTAGACATGCATAAGCCTACATGTATTAGTCAGGGTTCTCTCAATGAACAGGATTTATAGAACGAATGTATGCTATGTATATGAGATATATATAATTGTATGCAATTTATTAGAGTGGTCTACAGGCTGTGGTCCCGCTAGTACAACAAGGACTGTCTATTAAACGGAAGGTTTAAGAATTCAGTAGGTGTTCTAGTCCACGAGGCTCAATGTCTCATCTGGTCCTGAAGAAGTAGGCTCTAATACAGCAACAGAAGGTGTGGCCAGAGGAAAGGTGGATCTTTGTCACCTCAAAAGATCGGGATTAAAGGTGAATCTTCTCACCTAAAAAGATCCAGATTAAAATTGGATCTTCCCACTTCAAATGATGACAGAAAAAAAACCCTCACAGGTGTGCCAGTTCACCTGGGTTTTAGTTAATTCCAGATGCAGTCGAGTTAGCAATCAAGAATAACCATCCCATGGAGCAAATGTAGAAATAGGGGAAGGGCATACGCGGATGTACCTGGAGTACTCACAATAGACAGTTTCTTGGAGGCATTCATCTTCTGGTACATTTCTGGGATGAAGTCTTAATCAATAAAAACCCAGAGTCAGATATTAGGGTGAAAGCTGAAAGACCAGAGAAGCAGAGCAGCAACCATTAACTTCTTATCTCTCTGGACCCTCAGACCTAGTTGGGGGAGGGGAGGTCCTGTCTCTATGAATTCTCAGACTGAATGACCAGGATACTGTCTCTACCCACCTTATATTCCCGTCTCCACCTCTCTAGTGCTAGGATTAAAGGCATGAGCCTCCCATGTGCTGTGATCAAAGACTTGAGCCTCCCAAGTGCTGGGATCAAAGGGTGAGCCACCACTGCCTAACTCTGTTTCTCTTTTAGATTAATTCAATCTCGTGTAGCCTAGGGTAGCCTTGAACTCTTGATCTTCCTGCTTCCTCCCAAGTGCTGGGATTAAAGATGTGTGCTGCCACTGCCTGCCTCTATGGTTAACTAATAGCTAACTCCACCCTCTGATCTCCAGGCAAGCTTTATTTGTCAGAAAACAAACAAAATATCATACAACATTTCCCCCTTTTGTCTAACCTCCTGAAGGTTCTAATTAACATGGAAAAACCATTTACAGTAAGTACAATAACTATATACAATTATATGCAGGCAATAAATACATTAACAATGTCTAACTCATTAGCATTTGAGAAATTTAAAGAAAATACTTCATTATCTATCCTATTTTGGTGAATCCAAAGTGTTGTACCTAATTCACTTTCTATCCTAACTTTCATTACCAATCCCAGACTATCTTTTGATGTCTCTCATCCCTATACACTTTACACCTCTTTTGTGAATGTGTTTTTTGAATTTGTTAACAAGAAAAACTATAACTATCTAGTCTTAAACTCAATCAGAGACCTGAGAAAGATATATTATTATTATTATATTATTATACTATTACTTGAGTAAACAGGAAGCACAAATAAGTGAGTTCCAAAAATGTGAGAAATGACAGAAACAGCTGGCTACCTGGGCAGTCACCCAAGGTTCCTCTGCAACATTGGGGCACCCATCTTTGGCCTACAAGCCTAAAATATCTGACAAACTTTTCTATGAAGCAGGATTTTTGAAGGACTGTCTCACTTTGTCTTGGCAAAGTTCTACACTTTCTGATCAAATGAAAATTTAGCCTTATAAGTTAGTTCAGATTGAATGATCATTCTAGTTGATGAACTATTGTCTCTTCTAATCAAGAGGTCTCTCTTGTTCAAATCTAATCTTTATAATATTGCTTTATGATTTCTCCTAAAATTTTTGTTTTATCTTCTAAAGCTATTCTATCTTCCAGAGTAGTATTTTTTTTTTTTTTTTTACAGTCGGCATCGGGACTTTTAACCGCTCTGGGAAGAAGTGTTTTCCCATGGTCACAGAGAATGACTGAACCAAATTTGACATGGGGGCCTGTGAGAGACCCCCCCATGTGTTTCCTGACTGCCAAGGATTCCCCTGCCTGTCCCTTGTTGATCTGTATCATTCATCCAATGTCTGCCTTTGACATATCGTTTGCATACTCCAGTAGGGAGGGGCATTCTGTTTGGATTATTCCTAGAAAAAAACATTGTTTCTAGGAATACTCTATTTATAATCCCTTTTTAGGTGACAATTGAAACACCTGAGGCTTTGATTTTTCTTCACTCTGGGTCAGTTTTCTGGAATATATATATATTCCCCCCATCTCAGATATTTCAAGGAAGACTGATACAAGTTGAAGGAGGCTCAACCACTTAGGATTATTTCCACTTCCTCCTACCTCCTACCACAAGTTCAACACAGTCTTCTAGGAATTGCTGGCCATCCCTGAGGGTAGATAATGCAAGGCTGGTGTTCCTCACTTCACTTTTTCTGTTTGTATAAACCTATGGTAGGGACCCTGAGCAAACAGGTAGTCATCTGGAGCAAGGGGACAGTAAGAGACAATAGCAAGGAAGAAATATGTAATGGTGGGCTGTAGCCATGACTCAGCAGTAGAGAACCTGTCTGGAATATCTCAGTGAGAGACTGGTGTGTGGCTCAGTGGTAGAGCCCCTGCTTAGAATCCCCCAGTGAGGGGCTGGGGTGTGGCTCAGGGGTAGAGCCCCTGCCTAGAATCCCCCAGTGAGGGGCTGGGGAAATGGCTCGTGGGTAGAGCGTCTGCCTAATGTGAGTGACCCTGAATCCCAACTCCAACAAGAAATCCATCCTGGAACAAGGAAGGGAATTTTACCTTTTCCAAATATCTGTGTTATCCTAGTTTGAGCACTAATAGTTCTAACAGACCAGGCTTGGCCGCACACATGCTCCATATACCAAAGAAAGACATAAGAAAGAGGGAGATTTAACATAACTTGGTTACACTGGGAAGAGAAACAAAGAGGCTCAGTGACCTCAAGTCATCTTCAGGATCCTGATAAGAGGTTTAGTGTAATTAGAGGGCAAGAGGTGTATATGATTAAGCAGTCCTGGTTGAGGTATGGTGCTCAGCCCATCATTGACACATCTTTGTCTGCCCCACAGGGTGTTCCAATAAGTTGTCTAAACTGTGGATCTTCTGGGTGCTGTTCATCCTGTAGGTGTCATCTGGACTTTAGCTTTTCTGTTACCCCAACATAAGCATCCTTTGGAAATATTAATTTTTTTTTGTATTGAGCTCTGCATTTTTCTACGCTCCCCTCCCTGCCTTTCCCTTTCTCCATTCAACCCTCCCCCAAGGTCCCCATGCTCCCAGTTTACTCAGGATATCTTGTCTTTTTCTACTTTCCATGTAGATTAGATCTATATAAGTCCCTCTTAGTGTCCTTGTTGTTATCTAAGTTCTCTGGGATTGTGGTTTGTAGGCTGGCTTTCTTTGCTTTGATGCTTAAAAAACACCTATGAGTGAGTACATGTGATAATTGTCTTTCTGTTTCTGGATTACTTCATTCAAAATAATGTTTCACGCTTTGCACACGCCGCTGTCCCCTCTCGTCGCTTTCTACAGCCATGGTCAACCCCACTGTGTTCTTCGACATCATGGCCAATGGCGAGCCCTTGGGCTGCATCTCCTTGGAGCTATTTGTAGACACAGTTCCAAAGACAGCAGAAAACTTTTGTGCTCTGAGCACTGGAGAGAAAGGATTTGGATATAAGGGTTCCTCCTTTCACAGGATTATTCCAGGATTCATGTGCCAGGGTGGTGACTTCGCATGCCATAATGACACTGGCAGCAGATTCATCTACGGAGAAAAATTTGAGGATGAGAACACCATCATGAAGCATACAGGTCCTGGCATCTTGTCCATGGCAAATGCTGGACCAAACACAAGCAGTTTTCAGGTTTTTATCTGGACCACCAAGACTGAGTGGCTGGATGGCAAACACGGGGTCTTTGGGAAGGTGAGAGAAGGCATGAACATTGTGGAAGCCATGGAGCGTTTTGGGTCCAGGAAAGGCAAGACCAGCAAGAAGATCATCATTTCTGACTGTGGACAACTCTAATTCTTTTGACTTGCAGGCTTCTTATCCACCAGACCATTCCTTCTGTAGCTCAGGAGAGCACCCCAGCCCCACCTGCTTGCAGTACCCTGTAATCTCTGCTCTCATTGAAGTTCTTTGGGCTCCATATTTTCCTCATTCCCCTTCAAGTCTAGCTGGATTGCAGAGTTAAGTTTATAATTATGAACAAAAACTAAGTAAGAAAAAATAATGTTTTCTAGCTCTATCCATTTTCCTGCAAAATTCAAGATGTCATTATTTTTTTCTGCTGTGTAGTACTCCATTGTGTAAATGTACCACATTTCCCTTATCCATTCTTTGGTCGAGGGGCATTTAAGTAGTTTCCAGGTTCTGTCTATGAACAAAGCTGCTATGAACATAGTTGAGCACATGTCCTTGTGGCACGATTGAGCATCTTTTGGATACATACCCAGAAGTGGTATTACTGGGTCTTGAGGAGGTTGTTTCCTAATTTTCTGAGAAATCGCCACACTGACATCCAAAGGGGTTGTACCAGCTTGCATTCCCACCAGCAATGCAGAAGTGTTCCCTTTACCCCACATCCTCTCCAGCATAAGTTGTCATCAGTGTTTTTTATCCTGGCCATTTTTACAGTTGTAAGATGGAATCTCAGAGTTGGTTTGATTTGCATTTCTCTGATGTTGAACATTTCCTTAAGTGTCTTTCAGCCATTTTAGATTCCTCTGTTGAGAATTCTCTGTTTAGTTCTGTACTCCATTTTTTTTTATTGGATTATGTGATCTTTTGGCATCCAATTTCTTGAGTTCTTTGTATATTTTGGAGATCAGTCCTCTGTCTGATGTGAGGTTAGTGAAGATCTTTTCCCATTCTGTAGGTTGTTGTTTTGTCTTGTTGACCACATCCTTTGCTTTTCAGTTTCAGGAGGTCCCATTTATTAATTGTTTCTCTCAGTGTCTGTGCTGCTGGGTTATATTTAGGAAGTGGTCTCCTGTGCCAGTGTGTTCAAGTGTACTTCCCACTTTCTCTTCTATGAGGTTCAGTGTGGCTGGCTCTATGTTGAGGTCTTTGATCCATTTGAACTTGAGTTTTGTGCACGGTGATAGATATGGATCTATTTTCATTCTTTTACATGTTGATATCCAGTTATGCCAGCACCACTTGTTCAATATGCTTTCTTTTTCCATTTGATGTTTTTTGCTTCTTTATCAAATTATCAGGTGTTCAAAGATGTGTGGATTGATATCCAGGTCTTCTATTCGGTTCCATTGGTCCTCCTGTCTGTTCTTATGCCAGTACCAGGCTGTTTTCAGTACTGTAGCTCTGTAGCAGAGTTTGAAGTCAGGGATTGTGATGCCTCCAGAAGTTCTTTTATTATACAGGATTGTTTTGGCTATCTTGGGTTTTTTGCTTTTCCATGTGAAGTTGAGTGCCGTTCTCTCGAGGACTTTGAAGAATTTTCTGGGATTTTGATGGGCATTGCATTGAATCTGTGGAAATATTAATTCTTTGGGAGCTCTTTGTTCCAAAACAGTCTGATAGCCAAATGGAAGCACGAGCGTCTCTCTCTAAAAGTCTTCTCTCCTGCTAGATCAGTTATATAGGATTTCCATTTCACAGTCTTCTCTACCAAGCCCCATTGGACAGTGGCGCAACCTCCGTTTCCCAGGTCTCCTGTGAGTGAGACTCCACCTGTGGTCTTGCTTTTTGCTTTGTGTGTGTGTGTGTGTGTGTGTGTGTGTGTGTGTCTTGGTTTGGTTTGTATGTTTTGAGACAGGGTCTGCTGAAATCAAGGTTGGGCTGAAATTTACTATGTAGCCGAGTTTGGAGTTTGGCCTTGGAGCCCTGATTCTCCTGCCTCCGACTCCTAGATGCTGAGACTGCAGGCAGATTCTACCACACACAGTTTGTGTGGTGCTGGAGGTGAAGCCTAGCGCTCTGTGTGTGCAAAGCAGACACTCTACAAGAGAGTAGCGTCTCCAGAGCCCTTGGCGGGTTTCCATAGGAAGAATGCTCACATCTACCCCTTCGGATCAGCTGTCACTCAATCTGTGGCTCCTCCACTGATGCTCCAGGGTCCTGGGTTCCGTCTCCCAGTGGACAGTGGTGCTCTGGGAACACAGCCCAGGTCTCTGTACAGAGGGTGTGCCCATGAGAAACTGCTAAGGGAGAGAGGAGAGGCTTGTTGCTCCCCAGTCTGCATCTCCCAGTCCCTCTTCTCCCCTATGCCCTAGATTCATCCCCAACTCCACAAGTATCATCAGCCTTAGGGGAGGCTCTGGGGGCTCTGGATGAAGTAAATCCGTTTTCACTGGGTAGGAAATGTCACTCAAAGGCCAAGGTTAGTACAGAGAGAAAGAAGACAGGATCAGGCCCTGTATGGGTGAATTTGAGAGAGGCAGTTGCCTTCTTTGGCCTCAGGAGTAGATCTGGGTGGTGCATAGCTGATCTTCATGGCCCAAGGGCCCTGGCAGTGCCTGGGTCTGAAGCTCCTCCTCCCAAGGCGGCCACTGTCCTGGCCTCACCCCTGCTTCGGGTGGGGCTTCCTCCAGGTCTTGCATCTCTTAGTTCCTCAGAGAAGAGTCCAGAGAGTCAGACTTGTGGTGACCCTGCAGCTTCAGCTCGACATGCTGCCGCTGCTGCTGCTGCTCTGGGGGATGAAGGAGGTAGAGGGTGGGCCTGAGGCCATAAAGGGTTACAGCCTGGATGTGAAAAGGGAGGTGGTGGTGCAAGAGGGCCTGTGTATCTTTGTACCCTGTGAGTTCTCCTACTCTGCCTACCCCAAGGGGAAATGGAATGACTCAGACCCAGCTCATGGATACTGGTTCCGGGACGGAGCCAATACTGGGCAGGATTCCCCAGTGGCCACAAATAACAAAAGTCGGCCAGCACAGACTAGGACCCAGGGCCGATTCTTCCTGCTCGGAGAACCACTGAAGAACAACTGCTCCCTGGAAATCAGAGAGACCAGGAAGGATGACGCGGGGTCATACTTCTTTCGCCTGGAGAGAGGAAGAGAGGGGTTTAATTATGTTCGGAACAAGATGACTCTGCAAGTGACAGGTCAGGCGGGGCTTGCAGAGAAGCCACCAGGGAAAGCCATGGGCGCCACAGGGCAGGCCTGGGGTAGGACTCCGTCCTGGGAGCAGTGGGTCTGAGCATCGGGGTTCAGGGGAGAAGCTGCATCAGAGCCGGGGCTTCCCCTGAAGCTGTGCCTCCCCCCATCCTGATCCTCCATGTCTCCCCTCTCCTCACCAGACCTCACTAAATCCCCCAAAATCCTTATCCCGGGGACCCTGAAGGCTGGCCGTCCCAGCAACCTGACCTGCTCTGTGCCTTGGGCCTGTGGGTCCCCCGCCTTCTCCTGGACTGGTTCCTCTGTGCCACCCTTGAGCACCAACACCGCTGGTTCCTCCGTGCTGACTGTCACCCCCCAGCCCTGGGACCATGGCACCAGCCTCACTTGTCAGGTGACCCTGCCTGGAGCTGGTGTGACCACAAGAAAGACCATCCGTCTCAACGTGTCATGTGAGGTTGGGCTGGGTGGCCTGCCTGTTTTTCTAAGGCAGAGTGGTCCCCAGGGTGGGGTCAGAGTCTGGAGACTGGGTCCAAAAATTCTGATAAGGGGGCGTGTCAGGATGATGGGCCCCTGCCATACCCACTTAGACTGCTGCTGGGGACGGAGGGTGGTTGATGAATCTACTCTGTCATTCTCTCTTAGATGCTCCAAAGAATCTGACTGTGACCATCTCTCAAGGAGCTGACTCAGGTAGGAGCTTTCCTGGGTAGGAGATACGGCACCTCTTCCGCTCAGACAGGAATTATTCTTCCACATCCTGAGCTCACCTGGAGTTGGAGGCTCCCTGTTGAGGAACCACTGGACCATCTTCTCTGAAGGCACCAATCAGTGTCCACCTCTCGCTCCCCAAGATCTGCACATGCCCCTTGACCACCACAGGCACAGGGTAACATGCACACAGCAGAACCACCCCATCCAGAATCTTCTCCCCATTTATGAATCTGCCTGCATGCCCTCAAAGCTGTGCTCTGGGTTCTTGTGCAGAGACACAGCTACATGGTTAGACACTGAGGACACACACAGTGCTCTGTTCTCAGACACTCAGTCTCCAAGCTGTAAGCGATCAGTGTCCTGTCCACATCGGCTGGCCGAGCCTGGCCTTGTCCCCCTGAGGTTCTGAGAGGAACAAGATATCAATAGCAGAGGTGATCTTTGGTCTCCATGACTGCAGTACCCAGCACAGATGGATCCAGTCCTGTGGGTTTCTCATACCAATGTGTAGTAAGGGCAGGGTGTTCGTTCTGCCACCAGCAATGAACAGTGAATGTGTATCTGTGTATCTACGACCACAAGTGTGTGCCTGAGTAATAAACTAAATCCTGGGAATGTGGCTCAACTGATGAAAAAACACTTGACAAGCAAGCCCAAAGCCCTGGCTGGGTTCCATCCCCAGGACCACATAAGCTGGGCATGGTGGTCATTCAAGATCATTCTTGCTGCATCGTGAGTTTGGAGCTAATCTGGGCTACTTGAGACACTGCCTTCAATTCTCTCTCTCTCTCTCTCTCTCTCTCTCTCTCTCTCTCGTTCACCCCACCCACACATTTGTATGACTCTTTCTCATCATCAGTTCCAAATACATGCCTGGATCACATGTTCTCTCCAATTTTGAGGCGTATGTCCAGGCAGCTCACACTGAAATAAAACAGGCTTAGATTCTTGCTGTGGTGCTGGGAAAAGTTTGTGTTTCCCTGTCCTGTCCTCCCTACTGGGGTGTCAGTCCCCCTTTCTGGACTCTAGGGTCCCTTCTCTTAATCTCATCACACTGGCTCTGTCTCCTTCTCTACAGAATTCATAACCCCAGAGAACGGCTCCTCTCTTCCCGTCTCTGAGGGCCAGTCTCTACGCCTCCTCTGCAGCACCGACAGCAATCCCCCTGCAAACCTGAGCTGGACCCTGGATAACCTGAGTCTGTGCCCCTCGAAGCTGTCCAAACCTGGGTCCCTGGAGCTGTTTTTGGTACATCTCAAGCATGAAGGAGTGTACACCTGCCAAGCTCAGCATGCCCTGGGCTCCCAACACTTTTCCCTGAGCCTGCATCTACAGCGTGAGTGACCCTGGGCCCAGAGGCAGGCAGCAGGAGGAGGTCAACACCAGGCCCATCCTTGCGGTCTTCCCATAAGTCCCCTTAGCTTCAAGGGGAGCTGAGCTCCAGGTTGTGCAGAGCTGTGAGGACTGAAAAGATTTAGAGTCTCACTACCTTATTCCTGCTACAAGGAGGGTGTGCGGGTCGGGGAGGGGAGTCACCCCAGGACGCAGCAAATCCTGAGGAGAGGGGCTGGGACTTAGATGGGTGAGCTGTGCACACAAGGTCCTTGCTTCTGTAGGTCAGGAGGAAGGGGCATTTGCCAAGAGCATAAAATTCAAGAGAAAGCTGAACCAAAACAAAGCAGCATAAAAACAAATGCAAAACACCTCAGTAGTCAAACCTGTGTAGTGGTCCAGCCCCTCACTGGGGGATTCTAGACAGGGCTCTACTACTGAGCCACATTCCAGCCCCTCACTGGGGGACTCTAGGCAGGGGCTCTACCACTGAGCCACATTCCAGTCCCTCACTGGGGGATTCTAGGCAGGGGCTCTACCCCTGAGCCACACCTCAGCTCCTCACTGGAGGATTCTAGGCAGGGGCTCTACCCCTGAGCCACACCTCAGCTCCTCACTGGGGGACCCTAGGCAGGGGCTCTACCACTGAGCCACACCTCAGCCCCTCACTGGGGGATTCTAGGCAGGGGCTCTATCACTGAGTCACATCCCAGCCCCTCAATAGTGGGGGAATTCTAGT